TATTGATATGTTCATTTTTGAAAAAGTTATGGCACTTTTAAGTAAAAAAAATTGAAAAAATTTCGAAAATTAACGATTTTTAAATTTGTAATTTTTTTGGAGGTTTCCCCCATTTACGGGGAACGAGGGAATTTTTTTCAATTTTTGAGGGTAATGTCTTCGACTAGATACAATTTGTGATCTTTTGATGCATCATTGAAAGAAATTGGTTCGGTGAGAGCTGAGAAAAAGTGGTAACAGACACAAAAAAATAAAATAAAAAAAAATAAATAAACACATCTTAGTAAAACCAATACCTTCTCAGCTTCGCATCGAAGCTAAAATACATAAAATGATATTTCTCTAACTTTGGTAATAATTTAAATAATGAAAAAACTCATGTAAACATATTGTTATTAGTTATTTATACATAACAATAAAAAATGTTTAGCTTATTTTTATTTTTCATACTATTAGTTATAAGGAGTTAATAATTTACAAACACATAACTATTTTTCTTAATGAGAATTTTACAATATTAAATGATACTTACTATCAAAAAGCAAGAGAATAAATAAGTAATATCAACTATAAATATTAATGTATTAAACAAATTAATTTAAATTTGAAAAAAGTTAATGAATATTATATTTTATTTTACTATATAAATTTATTAATCAGTTATAAATATAAAAATTGATTAAAAAAGAAAATTTCAAATATGTAAGAGATCAATAGTCACAATAACAATTGTCAGTTAGAAGTGTTCCATCCTTTATAGTTTAAAGAATACTCGTTAAATTTTTTGAAAACAATAATATTGAATTATTACACAAATATCAAAATTCTTTTTAGAAAGATAATTTGTAAAAATTTATAACATTTTATAAAGTTGTATAGGAATGTGTTAAATCTTTCATAAATTGTTATATTATTTAGAATATCTACAGATATATAAATTTCTTCGTTTTATGTTGGCGTTTCGAACCCGTTGAAGACCTCTTCTTTGGAACGATAGTTCGGAGTCCGAAGATATACTCTGCAACGAGTTCGAAACTTCATCATAATATAAAATACATAAATATATCTATAAATATTCGAAATAAAAGTTTTATACGCCGTATGTACAAGGTGATATTTTTATCTTAACCAACTAAATTACTTATAGAATAAAAATGATTTAAACATTTTTTTATTTAGTTCTTTAATTTACATATAATTCTTGAATTATTAGCTATTAAATACTTTTCAAGTTTATCCCTTTTGCCTTGTTAGAACATGAACTTTGTTTTTTCAAAAGGAAACAGATTTTTTGAATTTAAAAAAATGTTTTAGGTTTTATTTTAATAATAAATGGCATTTGAATTTTTAACATGACCTTATTCGTTTATGAGATATAAAAATTACAAATTTTCAAATTTTTCAGTTAATATACATATATAATACACAAGGGATTATAAATAAAGGTAGTTAATTGGTTTTTTATGACTTCAAATTTGAAGGAAGGTGGTCTGTATATGCAATGATGTTACACTAGTGTATTAAAAACAATTGGCTTATCTACGTAACTCTATTTAATAGAGTAAATGTATATTTTTGCATAAACACACTAGTTTTTATACACTTATGTATATAAATTCGTAAAAAAAGCGTGAGTCAATTATTTTGTTACCCATAAAGAAAGTTAATTTATTGCATTTGACATATTTTTATGCCTAATGTTAGATACAAATCAGACAAACAAAGCATATAATAATGAGATGTATCTACTATAAGGTTTATTTTATTTTTAAGCAGACGTAAAACATTATTTAGGTGGTCAATACGACTTATCGAAAAAATACAGTCATATTCAGGTTGGTCTATATAAACAAGATAAAACTCAGTATGTCCCACGGGAAAGTGTTTCTCATCGACGTGGTAGATCCATAGTCGCATATATCAGATAGAGGACAATGTGTTTACAGTCCACTGATTCGAATGAATAAGTTTGGAAGTATTTTTTGCGGGACCAGCGTAGCTGATGTCTATTGAGAACTGTTTTGACAAAAAAAGAAAGAAAAATGCAAGAATGTCCAATACACACACGTACGCACATTTTAAAAAAGAACATATTTTTGTTTCGTCTCATCCGACAATTTTTGTTTCTTTTTTCCTGTTCACTGAACGTGTCCCTTTTTAAAGTGGCGTTCGCCAATCTTATAAGAAAAACTATTTGGACTATGTATTCACATAAATGACAGGATTTCAATATATGTCTATCATGATATTGACTTATGTGTAAATTTTCATACTGTAATTATGTTAAATGTATTATATATACATAAAAAAAAATGGTAGCACAGTGTGATCGAGGCACAGTGTAGACAAGGCATAGATGTCCCATCTATGTTTATCAATAGTTAACTATTATTTTAGTTTATTATTATTATAGTTTAGTTTAAAATTTCTGTTATATATATATATTTTTAATACGTTTGCCACAACATAGTAAAAGGCTATCCAAAATTTTGGGTATTATGAACAAAATCAATTAACAAAACGGTAGCACAGTGGGGTCGAGGCACAGTGTGGACGAGGCATAGATGGGACAAGTATAGATGATATCTGACAGTGATTAAAATCACTATCATAAGAAACGTTTCGATGCAAATCTGTAGATAGTGTTTTATTTAGAGAAATTGGTGGATTATTCCAAAAGCAACATCAACTCTTATTTTTTTGATTATATCCTAATTAGTAGTTCTTTGATATTAAAATATGATATATGAATAAATACTAATTATAATTATTAAATTTAGTATGAAAATAAAAAACTATACGAATTAATTATGATATACAGGGTATTCAGTAAGTAAGGAAATGGGTTTCAATTATTCCTATTGTTTGTAAAAATTAACATGTTTTCTTAATTATTGAAAACAACGGTAGCACAGTGGGGTCGAGGCACAGTGTAGACAAGGCATAGATGCGACAAGTATAGATGATATCTGACAGTGATTAAAATCACTATCATAAGAAACGTTTCGATGCAAATCTGTAGATAGTGTTTCCTTTAGAGAAATTGGTGGATTATTCCAAAAGCAACATCAACTCTTATTTTTTTGATTATATCCTAATTAGTAGTTCTTTGATTTTAAAATATGATATATGAATAAATACTAATTATAATTATTAAATTTAGTATGAAAATAAAAAAGTAAAATACCTTCTCCGCTTCGCATCGAAGCTAAAAAATTTAATAAGTTTAATTTCTTATGTCTTATGAACTTTATTCTATGTCAATTAAATTATATAATATTCATGAAAGTCAATATATTCTCCTAATAAAATATTTTAAAATAAAATAAAATACAAAACCTAGAATTTTAATAGAAAAATAGCAAATTTTTGAATACGGTAGCCATTTGCACATAGAAGATAGGTCGTCTCCACAAATTTTTTTTTTTCATTTTATAGTACATAAAATAAGCTTTAATTTGATATATGTTTAAAGAACGCAGTATTTCCGGAACATTTTCAAAAATTAAGTTGAAAATGTTAGTTTTTGTAAAAAAGTTGCAACTTTAAACCCCCCCCCCCCATGAGCAGGTTAAGAGTAAGATTTTCAACAAAATGATATCAAACGAAAGGGAAATATCTAAGGTTTTAGTAGAAAAAAAATTATGTTAATTTGTTTATTTTTCAAAAAGTTATGGAAGTTTTAAGAACAAAAATTGAAAAAAATGACAAAATTTGTCGATTTTTAAATTTGTAATTTTTTGTTATTTCCCCCATTTGCGGGGAACGAGGAAAAATTTTTAAATTTTTAAGGGTAATGTCTTCAACTAGATACAATTTGTGATCTTTTGACGTATTGTTAAAAGAAATGGGTCCAGTGAGAGCTGAGAAAAAGTAGTGACAGACACAAAAAAAAAAAAAATAATAAACACATCATAGTAAAATTAATATCTTTTCAGCTTCGCATCGAAGCTAAAATTTGTAATTATTCTAAATCGACGTTTAATTGCTAACTACGATATTAAAAATAAGAAAACTATAAATTAAACTATTTGTAATTGAAATTATTTAATAAAACCGAGTGGATGCTCACGGATTACTTATGAATATTTAAGTTAATTATTCCCTCACTGAGACTGATTGCTTTTGTTATTGATAATATTCATGCTTAGGATAAAAGGTAAACCTACATCTTTGTCTCTCCCGTGAATAGTTTTTCTCATGATGGAAAATCTAATTTAATTAAAATTTCTACGAACCGTTAAAACTAATTATAAAAGGAAAGGAAGCACAATGACACTTCGGAATTTCATCAACGTTTTTTTTAAATTAATTGGTAATCTTGCTGTATATATAACGAAAATGAAATAAGTATCTCTGCGAACGATAATCGAAGTTAAATTTTTTCCTTCGAAAAATCATAAATGATTAATTGACTTGAGTTTAGGGACGTGACGAAAAGCTATTTTTCGTCCTTAATTTTTTAAATACTATCAACGATGAATAATTGGATTACATTTTTAAAAAAACTGCTAACGACTGAAGCTGGTCATGTTTTTCTGACAAGTTTTATAGTGAAACCTTCCCACCCTCGAGAAATATTCATCGCGTCACTAAAGCACTAAGCCTGTTATATGATTCTCTTGTATGAGAATGACATTAGTCATTTATTACCACTTAAAAACCACACAACCTGGGGATTTGTTCAGTTTTATATGTATTAAATCCTCTACAGTTAATTTTTACTCAAAAGAAGCCATAAAAATTACGACATCATCTATGTATATTTTTAATTTAATATAATATAACGAAATTTTATTTCTTCTAGACTTTTAATGTGAATTAGATACTTAAAATACATAAGATAACTATATGGCTATAAATTAACAAATAAAATACAAATTTGTTAGTACGTTAGTGTTTAATGGACAAATATGTACTTTGATATTAAGAGCAAAATAATTTTATTATTAGTATTCGACAAAGAAAATTCTAAATGTTTTTATTGTTTAAATTATGTACAACTATTGATCTAAACTTTAACATTATACAAGTAATAAAAGTAAAATAATAAATGAAAACAAGTCTCGAATGTATTATAAACGAGTGTTATCTATTGAAGTGATACAAAAATAAGCATTTATTAAAAATAGATCTTTTCCAATCAACTTTTTTGAACTAATATCTTCGTAAGCTATGCCACAATATCCTTACGGGAAAACAAAAGAAATTTCTGGATAATAAAATCCCTTTAATGGAGTTAAAGGATACTGTAAGACTCAAGTCCCTTTTATTTTCAGTTCATCACTTCTAAATATAAATATATGAACTTTAAGAAATTATTAAAAATTCCATTGCGTTAGTATGATATTTTTAAAATAAATGTTAACTTTTGATACAAGTACTGTAAGTTGGATATAATTTATCGAAAACTCGTAGACAAATATAAACTCTTTATCATTTTTTTTTCAAATTATTCCCTTCCATTGAATGTGTTAAAATTTCCATTGCGTGTACGAGAAAATAAATGAAAATTTGGACATTCTTCAAGAAAAAAAATGGCACCCTAAAATCCATTAGTGTTAAAACTATCTCACATACTTAATTGCATGTAGAGTTGTATATTGTTTTAAACTACATGAAATGTTGATTTTAATAAGAAATATATCTTCTTTTTTTTTCCTCGCCTTTATCCCCATCTACTTGGGGTCGGCCACCCTTATCCTAAACTTCCACTTGACACGAACTTCTGTATTATCTAAGCACACATCAGCAGTCCTCATATCGCATTAAATAACATCCCTCCATCTCTTTTTTGGTTGACTTGTATTTCTCATTCCCTCAAAATTAATTTCTATAGCTGTTCTTACAGAGTCCGATTCCTCTCTCCTCATAGCTTGACCAAACCATATGAGCCTATTTTCTCTCATCATATTAATCATATCGATTAACACTATACCTTTACTCACTGTTATATGTTCGTTTCTTATCCTATCTTATTTAGTCACTGCACTCATCCATCTAAGCATTCTCATCTTTGCTACACTCTTTCTCTGTTCTATTCTCTTGTCAACCGCCTAACACTCTGAACCATACATCATAGCTGGTTTCATTACAGCCTTATAAAACTTACCTTTCAACCTTATTGGAATTCTCTTATCATGTAACCAACCAGACGCTTCTCTCCACTTCACCCGCCCAAACTTAATCCTGTCTCTTACATATTCGTCAATACCGTTCTTTTACCCAACTGATCCTAAATACTTTCCTCCTCTCCCATCACAACGTCTCGCTTATTGTCATTAATTTCCTCATATCACCTACCTTATAATCTTCTTTGTCAAATTCTTACTCTATATACTCTGTCTTACTACTTCTTATACTTAATCTCTTTCCTTCAAGAGCTGATCTCCTTACCTCTAACCTTTGTTTAATTTCTTTCTTATTATCTTCAATTAACACTATATCAACGGCGAATAACATGTACCTCTCCTCGTATTTTCGTAGTCATTTTATCACTATAGAAAATAGGTGACAGCTTAAAGCATAATCTATCTCTACTCCTACTCTTACCCTAAAATCTTCTGTTAAACTATCCACACTTTTTAATCTGATACAAATACCATCACACATATCCTCTGTTATATTAATGTACCTTTTTTGGGTTTCTTTTCTCATTAATTCCCACTTTAAAAAAAATTATTTAATAAATAATACAAGTAATAATTTTTTTATCATTAACTACTTAATTAATCAAAAAATATAAATAATATTCATAATTTTTTTTTGGTTTCCATTAGTTATACACTTTTCTTTATTTCTCAACTAAGAAATTTTTTTTGTATGATTATCCTTAATATCTTACAAGGATATCACGTACACATCGCTCACTTTTTTTTACATAATTAACTTATTTATTTATTAGATAATAATCTAATGTAGCAAATTACTAGTTGATTACAACTTTTAAAACAATATTTTAGAAGTTATTAACAATTGAAAATAATGACTGAAAGTGAGACGCTGGAGTCGCTTATTTATCGCTAAACAATTCTCGGTTTCATTTTTAATTCAACCTAATTATAAGAAAATTAATAACTTTTGAAATATTGAACCAAACGTTGTTATCAACGAGTCATTTTCTTTATTAGATTGTTATCTAATAAATAAGCTAGTAAATTATGTATGTTGCCATTTGAAAAATTAAACTTGACACCTTAAAAAAGTATTACTCTAGTAGTACAAGGCAGTATCGGGGAAGGGTTTTAGAATTTCAAAATGGATAGATAGCAGTTACATTAAGTTTCACATTGATACTTAGAACCCCTAAGCGATTTCGTCGGTTAGTAAGTTTTATGTCAAATATTTTATAACTGGTAGTTTTCGGAAAGATTTAATGTTCTTCTATTTTGTTTCTTCCAGATTACTTTTATTGAGAGATATGAAAATATTTTAATACACTTAATAGCAGCACAACTTATTTTTTTTAATAGTTGTATTAGGAAGCTTTTAATCTTCCTATTTACTACCTATAATCAATATGGCTATCAAGAACTCCTGAGGGAAGTCCAACGCTACTAAAGAAAAAACGAACTTAAATAATACTTAATTAATAAATTGAGAAATACAAGGAACTAAAAAAAGCCAATGTAAAAATTATCAATATTAGTTTTAAAAACCTTGTATAAAAAATATTTTATAATAAAATTATATATGCATTTAAATATATTATATTTTATTAATACTGTGAAATGTGTTAATAGTCTGTTTAAATAAAGTCATTAAATTTATATTTATATATTTTAAAAAATTGGTATATATTTATTTGCTTATATTATTTAATAATATTAGCATTTAAATTTTATTTCATGAATTATTCTTATACTTATTTTGCCGATTCTCAATTACGTAGTTAGGGGTTATTTATTTTTGTTTGTATTATACTTTCAAATAAAAATCAGCCGTGTATACTTCCATCTCAACCTTAATATTAAGTATTTAAATTTTATACAGTAAGCTAAAGTGGTAATAAATAATGGTATTAACTAGAATAGCGTTTTCTGCTATTAACTATAAAAACCCACTTTTATTTAACACATTATATTTTTTGTAACTATTCTGCTGTTAGTCTATTATCGATCTCGAGTTTTATAATATAAACGTTTTCAGTTTTAGCTCAAATAAATACTGGCTGCTTCAACATTTATGTTGCCTGGATTATTTAAATACAAGCGAGATATCTTCTTTTGACGAAGGATTTATAAATATCGTTTATTTATTAATTTCGATTATGTTTCGGAAATTCGATGCACTAAGTATGGCAGCTTTTATCTGGATTTCCTTGCCACTGTGTTCCGGAATCCCGCATTGTCTTTTATACACTGCCCTATACCCTTATATTTGGCCAGTTAAGTATATATAGTGCGACTATAAATAATACTACGCAAGTTAACAGCGAAATCCTGGGTCACATTCCTATTACGTTATGAATGTATGTATAACAATACTAATTTAACCGTAGACAATAAGTACAACTGTGAGGGATTACACGGCAACGTGTGTGTATACTTTAAAGGATTTTAGATTGGTACATTGCGGCTCGGACGTATAGTTTATAGCATTATTTTAGTCATCTGAATTGGTTGCAACCATAACTTAATTTGTTCTCTTCGGAGTTTCATATCTAGTATTACTTCTTACACGATATTTAATGTTAAATTTAGTTCCAGGATATACGCGTACTGTTCTCCTCCTATCTCATCTCCTTTTCTTGTTTACTTAGTGTCTGAGTCCTGTTGATAATTTAGCTATAATGGTTATTTATTACTTCAGACTTTAGATTTTATAAACAATTTATTTTTAAACACTTCAATTTTATTTGGAAAATAATACCCTGTATGAATATTATTTTATGATAATACTCAGAAAATGTTTTTATTTAACTATTGCGATAATTGTTTAATGAATTCAGTTTTTGTCTCTTCAAATACTCTATTCAATATCTCCAAGTCTAGCTGCATAATCTATATGATAAATATGATAAACAAAAATCAGCTAATTGCATTTGAAAGCTAATAATTTATGTTTTAAATGTATAATTTTTGTTTACTTTGGGCAACGGATTAATCGATGGATGTATATTGGCATTCTGTTTATTGTAATCTTCAATAGTACTTACTACTAGACTTCCATTAAGCCAGACACCGTTAACTTTTTGTCCTATAAGTTTATTGACGAAAGTACCTTCGCCATTTTTTAATCCGCATTTCCATTGTCCATCCCAATAACATCCATTTTCTATATATATATCAGCATTACTATTGATATTATGTAACAAAAAAAAGTAAAATACAAACCTTCCACGAAAGTGCCCTTCCCATGATATTTATTATTAATCCAAAACCCAGTGTATGCAGAATTATTATTCCAACGCATAGTTCCAAATCCATGTTTGATTCTTGTGCCTGGTAAGTACTCTCCATCGTAAACGCCATTTCTTCCATAGCATATTCCTTTTACCTGAATCATACACTTTCTATTTAAGTATACCTTATTTCTTTCGGCTAATTCTAACATATACAAATTTTAGATTAACTGAATCAAATTTTATATCAAATATATTAATTAAATTAGTGTTGTTTTAAAAGGAAGAAATTTTACTTCAGTATTTTATCTAAAATTGAAACAGTTTCTTACAAATATTAATAGTTGTTCCTCGGAAATGAACGAAACTATTTTAAAGTATTCCGTCAAACAAAACACAGACTTTAATACAAATTTAAGGACTATCTTCTATAGCACAAGAAATGAAAATTGAATTTAGCAGTATGAGTTTTTGACCTTTTATTTAACTTTTTATATTATATCAAATTGACATTGTCAATTCATAATAAGTATTACCTGAAAGCTCTTATGACTATTTACTAAAAAATTAGGTTGAGAATTTTTTTATTACATTTATGTCAAATTAAAAATTCTTAATATCGTACAAAAATATGATTAAAATTTATTTTTAATAAAGACGTAATGAAAATTATATTAAATGTGAATTCATTTTTAAGGGACGTGTATAAAAATACTTTTATATTTGATAACTAAAACAAAGGTACATTACTTTTTTAGGGTTAATAAAATTATTTCAATGCAATAATATTATTTAAGTTAATTACGTTGTTTTATGTAATACAATAAACTTTTTTTTTTAATGAGTTCTGAAATTTACTTTTCTAATTGTATTACATATAGTAACACAAGAGGACTTCATTTACTAAATACATTTAACATTGCGTTGTTTTTAGTTTTAATCAATTGACATTTTAATTTTCTACTGTGCAAGTGTAAGCACAAATGAGTCCGAACTTACAAAATTAATTATACGTTGAGAACGTGCCAATAGTCGATGCGTTTAATTATTATAATTTGAAGAGTTTATTGGTTATAACTAATAAATGCTTTTGGCTCGAGATCAATGGTTTATCGCCGTAAATTAAGTTTATTTAAAAACTTGCCACTATTGAAGTCTTGCAGAAGATAACTTGAATTTATAAACACCCTGAGCTTAAAATTATTTAAAACGTGTACTGAAAATACAACTAAAATATTTTTCATATACATACAAATTTATTTTTAATCCAATGACCTTCACAAATTAGTTCACCGTGATCATAATGTTGTCGAATTAATTTACCAAAACCATGCCTCATATCTTCTTTCCATTCGCCATTATAAATAATATTGTTTTTATTATAAAACATAATGCCTCTGCCTATAAAAATGTTAAAAAAAATCAATATATTTGTATTAAATAATTATTAATTTCATTGAGTTAAATTATTTTTTTTTAGATTTAAATATACAACGTGTTCAGTAAGTAGGATACATGTCAATTGTTATAAACTATGGGAACAATAGATCCCTTACTTACTAAACACCCTCTTTATATATATATGTCGCTACAGGTTTTAATAGTTTAATTAACTTTTGATCCATCAAATATTTTACGTTACTTAAAATGAAAATTTTCAGTTCAAACTATGTTTAATGCATTAATTGTCTCAAGTTCATAAGTCTTTTTGAAATTTCAAAATAGCCATTTTTTAGTTGTTTTTTACAAAGAATTTTAATGAATCAATAGCAACTTTAGGATAAATACTTATTATGTTACAAACATTTAAATACATTAAGTGAATATGTAACATGAGTGGGGACAGCTTGTACACACTATATACTGAAATGCTTATAACCCATATTATATTTTTGTAAAAAAAAAAACTAAAAAAATGGATATTTTTAAATTTTGACAAAACTAAAACATAACACTTTTTTTTCTTTGCTTGTTTAAGTAGTATTTATTTCTCGATTTATAAGTGGTTTTATATATATTTTTTAAACTTAGAAAATGGCTCGTCGATAACAACATTTCAATGCTTCAGAAGTCATTAATATTTTTATATCTAGACAAGAGTAGGTATGAAATGTTGAAAATAATAAAAATACAAAGTAATTTTATTTTAATTTTTTCTTCTTGGTTATAAATAATAAAAATATGTTTTAAATTTTACATTATTCATTTCCTTGTCGTAATCTTTGTCTCGCCAAGGTATACAAATAAAAATTACATGTAAAGTACTGTTTCAAAAGTTGATATAGACAAGTTATTTTCTTATTCTATAAATAAACTAAATATGTATGTTAACATAAAAAGAAAACTTGGCACTTCTATGCGTTATGAAGAAGAATTAAAAGTAACTAAAAAAAACCAACAAAATTTTCTCATTATTGTATTTATTTTGTGAATAATCTAGTGGTTTATGATAAACTGATACTCTGTTTGTTTAAATGCTATTATTTTTCAATAGATTTTAGTACAACACTGGCTATTTTTGTAATATTATTCCATTAATTTCGGTTTAAAATAAATATATTTAAACTTTTTTTTTACTGTAGTTGTTTTACAATAAATAAGATAAAAAAAATTCATTTTATTTTTCAATTATTAGATAATTAAGTTGAAAATTACACACATTAATTATTAATGTTTTTATAACATGCTATTTGAACAATTACAATTATTGATTGTAAATTATATTGTGGTTGTTTCGTTTTTATAGTATATAATTTAATCAAAGTGTCACATACATTTATTTAATAGGAGTCATTTATTATCATAGTTCAAAAGTTAAAGCATGTTTTATATGAAATCCAATTATCTTATTTTTAATTTGAATGACTATAACGGATTGTTTTACATAAATTCTAATAAATTCGTTCTTACGCTCTTATAAATGTATTCAAATACTCACTTAAAGTACGGTTTATGATGAATAGAACTAAAATAGATTATTTAGAACAATAGACGGTAAAAAAAATATTAAATTTGCCTAAGATTAAATAGACTTTTACTTATAAAAAAACCTAATTTAAAATGTCAAGATGACATTACATTAATATAAAATATAATGTCAAAATGTGTTAAATAAGATTGCAAAAATTATTATACAATCTATTTTGATAATTTATAATAGTAATATTAGCTCACAATTTTAAAAATGATTCAGGATAAAATTTTAATTCTAGTATTAATGTTGTTCATTACATTTTATAGTGAGTAATAAATCATTATATGACTTTCTACCCCACAAAAATAAATATGTGCCGTTAAAACAATAAACTCATGTATTTTCTATTTATGGTTTAATTCGATAAATTATTCCAGGAAGATTAAAAATATTATATTGATAATAAAAATATACACTACAGCCTTATAATTTTTTAAAATTATATATATATATATATTATATTATATTATATAAATTAAAATTATTATTATCAAATTCAATTATGTATTAATATATGCATTACCACTTTTCATGTTCTTTTCCCATTGACCTTTATAAATTCCATTCCATTCATATACAGCTTGCCTAAAACCATTTTTCTCTGATATCAAATCCAATTTTTGAGTTCTTTTTAGGACGTTTGGTTTAAATTTTGGCATGATTACTTTAATCAAACTATTAAGTAAGAGCAACACAATAATAAACAAAAATATATAATAAAGTAGAAGAAACTTAGTTGTTATTTTTTATTACAATTATATTAATTACTCAATTCCTAGGGCAACGAAAACAATGTATCATTGTTAAAATTCGCATATGCAATATTTACACTGCTCACGCATTTTCTTTATAAATAAACATTTATTATGAACTAAATGACAGTAATGAAGCGTTTAAGTCAAAATATATCTTTTATAGAGCTTTATCAAAAACTAGGTATGCTAATAAACATAAGTAAACTGAGTAAAATGTTCCATAACCAATGTAAATGTCGAAATTTTTGGTGTTTAAACGTGTTTAAAACGTAACAACCCTACCAAAAACATATTTTTAGAATACTTTTTTTTAAAGAACTGTAATAATATTAATTGAGTATTTATTTCTATTAGCTTAATTTTGAGTAAAAAATTAAAGTACTACAATCTTTCTATGTTTTTAGCAATGATATTCATAATTTTTAATTTAACACATATAAATCAAACTCATATATATTTTTTTGTTATTTTGCTGATGATATATGAATGTAAATTTTAAAGGTCAATAAAATTATATCGAATGTATTAAATAAAGTTATGAGTTCCAACACAATTAAAATTCTGTCTTTTTAATAGTTTTAAAGTTGATAACGAGCGATATCACATAGCAATAAAAGTCATATTCAAGCACTTTAAGCTCATACACAATTATTAAGTTATCCATAAAATATAATTAAATTTTACCATTATCATAACAATATTCATAATATTATTTTTTTTTTTTTCAATAGAATGTGTATAAAATTAAAAAAATAACTATTATATAATTATTATCAATATACTTGAAATTTTAATATTTATAATTTATTACATTTGTCATTCAAAATGAAATTTAATAGCTAATTTACGTTATAGTTATATTTTTCAAATATCAGAGTAATTTCAATTAAAATGTAACTCCATTTTTTATAAAATCAAACAAGCATATGAAAATGGTAGTATATTTTTACATTTAAATTACCACTTAGCTTCTTACAGTATGTGCATATAACATGGCATTCGGCTAGGTATAAGAGGGAACTAAAATCTAATTAGTTGAACAATGAGTTGTATTGATATTGTCAAATGCACATTTCACGTCGGATATAAATTTTGTCATGCCAACCTTTATCCTACTATTGCATTCAAGCACCATTTACTTTAGATTATTATCAAGTAAATCAAATCCCATTGTAATGGCTGGAGAGCTGTTAAAAAATGTTGTTGTAATCGAATTCACTATTATGAAAAAAATAAATAAATTATCAAAAATTCAAAACAAAATGAAATAAAAATAATAAATGCAAAAAAGTAGTATCAATGCTAAATGGTTTACATCAATGGAGTTGCTCTTGCGATAAAAACATTATTATAAATGAGACATTCCATCGGCACCACCAAATATGAAAATATAGAAAACCAAAGCGAATATACAATATACATGTATACTTGTCTAGATAAAATGTTAAATGAATTGGTAAACTAAATTGTGATTTAGGTTTTCGAAACATCGTTGGTCAAATTTAGGAAATGACAAACTCAGCGGGTATATGTAATAACAAAAGGATTCTACTGAACTCTATTGAAATCTGACGTATACCAAATATAAAATGCAGCAATTAATGATCATCGATATTCTAGTAGACATATACATACAGAATGATTAGTAAGTAAGGAAACAAGTCAATTGTTATAAACTATGAGAACAATAGAATCCCGTTTCCTTACACACTGAATACTCTATATATCATAAATATATGAATAATTATCAACGAAACGGATAACAACAGATATCTGATCAAATGTAAATTTTTCTTGTTGAATTGGAAAAGTATTGCTAATGACGTCATTATTTTATTTCAAGTCCAATCATAGTAACTGATATTCTAGAAACACGTCTAATAAAACATTTATATTTTATTATCTCATCAGTAATAACATAATTTATACTAAACCTAATAGACATAGTATAGCACAGTGGACACTTCAAATTTTGTCAAGCTCTAAAGTTAAGCTTTGCCTGCCGCTGTTAGTTGTTGGATGGGATACCATGCATCAATTTCATTAACAGGAGACAAGTTGGGTAACTACTGCAATTATAAATTTCCCAAAATGCACGAGTCCAAACTTCAAGAATCCAGTGGCATTAACTAACTAATGGTTAGAAAAAAAACTTAATGTAACTATTTATACAACCATAAAAAATAAACTACTTAAATTAATCCAAGATGATTAGAATTTAGACTCGTGCTAAAAACATACAATAAAATAAGAAAGATTGTCCATTAATTAAGCCGTTATGTCCAAGTTTATTTTTAATTCTAGTTTAAAAGTATCAGTAATGCTAAGAACGCAAGAAGACTTAACTATTTAATACACAAATGAATGATCTTTGGTTTAAAGCAAAAACTTCTGTTAAATGTATTAGGAATCGCTTAATTGAATTTTCTCCATTCTTATTTACAAAAAGACCGGTGACCTAGATTAAATACAAAGTTTACAAGCGATCTCCGTGATTAAAATCACTATCTCTTCCAACAAAATTATCTCTTAGGCTAAAGACTTCAAGGAATGCATATAGTTTAATTGTTTTTTGCCAGAATAGAACTAATCCACTCTTGACGTTTTGAAACTTCTCTAAAATTGGATCTGATCACTCATAAATTAAATATAATATTATTATTAAAAATAATCTGGGCAATTTTTAATAATAAATGAACATTCTAAGATGTTTCCAAACTATGGTCGTACTATCGAGTATAGCCAAAGCAACCAATTTTAATTCAGACATTTATAAACCTTGTATTTTCAATTAGTTTTCAAGAAACGGTACATTATATTACGTAGGTTTCATAATGAGCTATAAAAAAAACTTCAATACATAAAAATAGGTACCATATTGTTATCATTTGTTAGTAAACCGAAAAAAATTAAAAACAGAGTTATGAAAACTTTATAATGATTGCACATAAATTCAAAATAAACTTATAAAGTTAATCGAAGTTTTTAATTTGATATAAAATGTTTTTTTGGTTGTTTTTTAGCCAAAAATGATTGAATACGAACACAAGCGAACATTTAATATTTATCCTATTAAATATCCACAAAATTATATCATGACATGTGAATAGCTGTACGATACCGTTAAAACGATTCTAATAATATCGTATGATGCAATTACTTAACTATTTTTTAATACTAAAACTTAGGGCAGAATAGACATTTAATGTCTGTACAAATCAAACTGATTTATTCATTTTGTCACATCAATTATCGTAAGACGAAATGAACCACTGAAATATTCTATAAAATCACATTACCTTCTTTATTATTATTAAAATGTATTCAAATATTAGGCGAAAGATTTTTACATTGGAAAAATATTGTAATTTATAACTGTTGATGTATCAAAAGAATGTTTTTCTTAAAAAAAAAAATGTACACCACGGTGGTTCCTGTATTTTTACAATAGTATTTTTTTTTTTAATCGACTCTAAATTAACGTTAACACTAATATGAAAGTGCACACGTTGCATTTCTATTGTGTGCATGGCACAATAGAGATTACATTACCAATAGCTGTGCCGAGGAAAGAATTGGGGTGATTACAGAGGATGGGGTTAGGACTGGGGTGGCTTGGTGCCAGAAGCGCGTAACAACGCCAGTAATATATGCGCGTGTCGACTAACAAATATTGTAATAATATTGCCGAGCAGACGCTGCTAAACCGTCGACAGCGATAAACTTTTCAGCGTAATTTTTTGACATCCGACAAATGCTTACCAAAGCTCAAACTCTTGTAATGTTGTAATCCCGTTCGCATATTCAACGAACTGCCGCCGGCCATGAATTACGTATCTGAACTGTAACTTGATGTAAAAGAACATGAGCGAACAACGACAGCGACAAGCGTACAATTTACAAGAGAGCGTTTAAGTATGCAGTCCGATGTTCATAAATTAATGATAGACTTGGAAAAAAATGATACTTTTGAAAAAACAATTTGCCCATTTTAATGGTAAATATGCGATGAAACGAGTTTTAAATATGTTGATATTTAACGAGTAACTAAGAGTTGATTGACGTTCAAAGTTCAAGGTGAGACTTTGTATAAAATCAAAACTAGAATTAGTTCAGTTAAAGTTTGAAACAACGATGTAATGTTACTATATTGTAACATATTCTCATGAAAAATTTTACTAATTTTTTACGAAAAAAGGTTTTATTCAGTAAGTTTGTACCTATTTAAATTTTCACGAGTAATATTTTCAAAAATGATACACGGTATAAAATAAAATAAATACAATATTGGAAAATTTTTAATATTTTTTCGTTGCATATCATTCTTTATTTAGCAGCTAATAATTATTTTTGTAAACGACAACATGCATATTTAACTTCCAACTTATAAAATAGGAAATTATCTATTTAACAAGATGGCCGGTCTATAACAACTTTTGGAACTGTATTTTCATTTATATACCTAGGCGCGACAAAGATTACGATAAGGAAGAACTAGTGATAAAAACAGCAGCACCCGCTCTTTACCTCCAGTCGTTACTTTAAATTGTTAATAACTTCTAAAATGCTGATCCCGAAGTTTTTATCGACCAGTAGATTATTTCTAATTTTATGAGCTGATTAAATATGTATGTTGCCATTTACAAAAATAATTTTGACATATCTCTAAGTCATAAGAAGAATAATTCTTAAAAATAAATTACTAGCTGCTAAATGAAGAATTATATGAAACTAAAAAATATTAAAAGTTATTTTTCCAATATCGTATTTATTTTTTCAGTAATCGACTGGTTTATGATAAACCGATCACTTTGTATATGGTTTAACTTATGAGATCACGATTTTATAAAACTTTATACTACGAATTTTTTTTTACGCCTATTATGGAATTATTAATCATAGTA